GACTCTTTTACCAGATAATAAGAAATAAATGTAGTGTTCTAAAATGCAACCTGCATATGTCATTTCGAGTTAACAATATGGCAACATCATAGTGATTAGGAGAATCATCATTCGGATCATTAAAATCTTTTTGCCAACTACAAAATGACAGCAAAATGTTCCTTGCGGAGTCTCCTTCAAAATCTGGCTGAAACAGGCTAAATAAGTAGAGGCAGTGTAAAATAACAATGACTAAAATCAACTTTTATCAATCTCAAAATAAAAAATTGATGAATTTTTTCTAACTCAGATTGCACAAGAAGTTTTTTTAATAAACTAAATGAACTCTTTTTGCATAACAAATCATAGAGTTAACAAAAAAATATATTGATAAAAACACTGCATTTAAATGATTTAAAAGTTTATTCACCATTCGTTGTTTGAGGATTAAAATTTTAACAACAATTATATTGATTGCTGCGTTAAGACTTGGATGCCGATAAATTGAAGCTACCTGAAACAAAAGACATACTGATTTTCACAATATATCTTAGTGACGCTTTAACTGTTTCAAAATCAGCAATTATGCTTGACCTCAACTCCTATGAACATCTTTTCCTTAAAGAAAAAAGAAAAATCGTAGTTTAATGCCAAACCTTCGGTCTGCACCAGTACTTTTACTATGTTAACAAAAAAATCTGCAGAATTTAGTTTGCTTCAAAAATAAAATTGTTTTGAGTCACAGTTACAATTTATGCATCTTTTAAAATCACCCTTCAGCAACAACTAAAAAATGACAGATGAATTGAGCTTAATAAGTAAATTCAACTTCTCTTCGACAAATGCCATTGAGAATCATACCCACACATCGGATAAGTAGAAGCATCAATGCATAAACTACAATAAAATGAATCGACTATCATGTAATTTAAAAACAAACCGTGGAGAACAGGGTAAGAATGTAGTTTTCCAGATTTTCCTGATGGTAAAATGCCATATGATAATCAGCTACTACAAGCACCTCAACGTAGTGGTCCCAAGAGTTAGCTGATCGACGAGATCGGATATTACGAACTAAAAATCATAAACAGGGCATTCTTATTTAGTGCTACAAAAGCTCCTTCAAACTTGTGATAATCTGTTAACAAAAAACATCACCTTTTAAACAATTCAAAAACATCAAAAAATTTTCGATAAAAAAATTTGAGATAAAAATAATTTTAAAAGAAGCATTTTAAAAAGGCGACTCCATTTTTTAGTACAAAATTATTGTATTCATGATTGTGTCGCTTTTAATCAGCCAGTTTTAAAAGCAGAAAAAAATTTCTTTGGTAATAATTTGTAATTTAATGTTGATCGTCTATCTGGCAAAATAGTTAAACCAAAAAAGCGTGAAAAAAAA